GCTACTTACTTGAAAATATGTAAGAGAAGTCATAAACAGGTCATAGAAAGGAAGAATTCTCAGTGTTGTCCCAACTGCTAAAAGAAACTCAAACTTATGTATAGTGAGACGCCAATAGCCTCGAAGTCCTAAACACCATATTTTGAAAATCACTTCCACATCAAAAAATATTGTAAATCCAACCTGTAGAAAAAAATACAATCAGTATATAGGTCATAATCAATAATGGTCCATTATATGCAATACAGATTTCATTTTCATCACTTTATTGTATGTTGGAATATACATATCAATTAATTCATTGTTTGCATGTTATTAGTATTTCAAAATCTTTACATACTACTGAGAACTTACTGACCTAAACATAATAGTGAAAAGAGGTAACATTTCTTATATTCAAAATAATTAAATTCAAGACAATAAATTTACTGTAGATGAATATTTCTTTTTCATTTCATATGAATACACCTAATATATTTCCTCTTCATGATTCATTAAAAACAGCAATCACTAACCTCCATATAGTAATAATGTTGATAAAATTCTCTTCTTTCTCGTCCATCATGCTTAAAGCTCAGAGAGGCAGCAGCTATAGCATTGGCAATAATAGCAGCCATGATGACAAGATAAAAACCAGCACTGACCACAAATTTCATACAACATTTTGGTGCCCAACCACGAGGTTTGTTGTCATCAACAAATACAAGTTTCCAACCGTGGTCATCACCAGAAAGTATCTACAAAGAAAAAAAATCACAAAAATAGCAATAGAGTACATTCCATACTGAAAGGGTACATATATAAATAGGTGTTACTAACCTCTATTTTTAGTCAGCATTCACAAGCAAAGGAAACATATCTTGTTTGTAAAAGTTAATATTGTACATAATAATTTGTTTCCTTTTTTATGGTATTCATGATAAACAGGTCAGTGATGAATATACATCATCAAACATACTCACCTGCGTTGAAACTTCTTGTTCAATATGGCCTCGAATACCCCATATCTGTTGGAATTGCACTCTCATCTCATTGAAGGTTTCCGTAATAACAGCAATGAAAACGTTTTTAACAAGCCATGAGAGGAAGAATATCATGGTAGTAAAGAAGAATGTTGCTCTCCATCCTGGTAATGAATCTATGGCTCTGTACATGATGAATACCCAACCTTCTTGTGAGGCAGCTTGATAAACAGTAAAAATACTGGTAGCTGAAAGACAATTAAATATCATCATTTTGTACCTGGTGCTTCTTCATACTGCCCTTAGAATTTTAATACTCACTTTCCTTACTTCATTTATAAAAAACAAATAAAAATCATGAAATCTGCTTACCAATGTTATCAAATCCATTAAAGCCACTAACTTTCTTCTCAAGCTCAAGGGGAGCACATATCATGCCCTCTGGACACTGATAACCTGAGTCTGGTTCAGTGGAGCAAAATGTGTCAGGAATGGCCAGGTTGTTCAGGGTAATCTGCCTGCTGTTGAAAATAAAAACAGAGAAACTAATGTACTTTTTTAAATTAATAAAATGTCGAAATTCACTATGTCTTTAAAACTTGGGGATTTCTGATTCCTTTGGATTTTTGGACTTACTTTATATCGGTGCCATTTTTGACACAATGATTCCTCAGTTCTCCAAATAGCTGGACACCAAGGAGACCATACAATGACATAAAGAACAAGAAAAATAAAGTAACATTGTAGATCTGTTGACTTGATCGCCTGGAAAACAAAGTATAAACATTAATGAAAGTAGTGAAACTTCTGCTACTCTTACAGTATACTAAAATATGTTTTATATACAAGTACATATGCATGAAGTCTACTACATGTATGCATACCTGTGTATGTAAGTATGTGTTCATGCATGCATGTGTGTGTGCATGTGTGTTTGTGCATGCATGTGTGTGTGCATTTGCGTATGTGTGTGTGCATGTTTCTGTATATGTATATGTATATGTATATGTATATGTATGTGTATGTGTATGTGTATGTGAGTGTGTGTGTGTGTGTGTGTGTGTGTGTGTGTGTGTGTGTGTGTGTGTGTGTGTGTGTGTGTGTGTGTGTGTGTGTGTGTGTGTGTGTGTGTGTGTGCTATTTAAATAGTTTATAACTTACTTAACAATTTGATTCAGTCTTTGCTTGGGCATAGAAGACTTGAGAAATATACGTATGAGCCGAACAACAATGAGTGGTCTAGGAGCTCGCAGAACTGATAGATAGCTGTGTTTGTTCACCCATTCTGTCATTATTTCAAACATTTGAAGAATTACTGACATCCAAAGGAAGAAAACCATACTTGCATCATACTGGCACCAGCGATCCTTAAGATATGGTACTTCACCCTGTAAAAAGCATATGTTATGAAAACTGGATTAAGGCATTAATGGCATAATTGTGTTGATACATTTAGCTACACTATAAATCATAATGAAAAAAGAAACAGGAAGAGAAAGAGGACAAAAAGAAAGAAAAAGGAAAATCAGAAAGAATAGAGAGAAAGAAGAGAGAAAAAAGAGAGACAGAGAGACTGAGAATCACTCTGACAGATTGACAGACTGACAGACTGACAAATTGACAGACAGACAGACAGACGGACAGACAGACAGACAGAGCATTGGTGACTTACCTCTAAAATGCCACGGGACAAACAGAAACAAACTGATAGATAGAGAGAAAGAGAGAGAGAGAGAGAGAGAGAGAGAGAGAGAGAGAGAGAGAGAGAGAGAGAGAGAGAGAGAGAGAGAGAGAGAGAGAGAGAAAGAAAGAGAGAGAGAAAGAGAGAAAGAGAGAAAGAGAGAAAGAGAGAGAGAGAGAGAGAGAGAGAGAGAGAGAGAGAGAGAGAGAGAGAGAGAGAGAGAGAGAGAGAGAGAGAGAGAGAGAGAGAGATGAGCATTGGTGACTTACCTTTAAAATGCCACGAGCTTGCATTTTGGCTATCATCTCTGCAGTAAAAAGAAAAGTAATAACAAGATCTGCACAAAACGTAATATAACTTAGACTCGGATATAGCTCCTTTGAGCGAGGAGTGTTTGCTGATACAGATACCAGCGACACCAGAGAACAAACACGAAGCAGCCATCGCACCCATGCCTGTAAATATAAATTTTGTCAAATAGTTATAATCTCCTCATGCATAAATTTACTAAGCAATTCTCATATTAGTCATAATTATGTCATGTATGAGTAAACACACAATACTTACTTTGTTAACCCATTCAATATCTGAACTTTCATTGAGAGTTTCATCAGGTCCATAGTCTGTGAGGATGGGTTCCCCCCTAAGGCTCTGCTTCCGCCCCAACATCTTGTTCAGGTTATAGTAGGTACTGGAAAAATGTCCATTCCCTTCATGTTCTGAAATAAACATGTCAGGTTAACAAAGTTTCTGTAAGCTTTCAACACTTCCTAAGTGGTTCACTTCCCTTTATTTTAGTTGTTCACTTGTTCTCCCATTAATTCATTAGAATAACATTTCTCTGTTAACTAATTTCACAAATTTATAACCTTTAACTTAAATACAGATGTACAACAACATATCGACATTAACCCTTTGACTGTTAAACAACCACAGTTTCAGTGCTAAATTAATATTTATGATGCATTAGGCAACTATAGCCCATGGCCTTAGAAAAACTTTTCTGTGTTATCTGGCAACGGATTTATAAGCCCTCTAATCTGTTTTGCCCAAGAGCTATTGCCATCTCAGACCCTTCCCGTTTGCAGTTGAACATGAAATCCTTAATATTATTCTCAACAAGAAAAGCAGTAATAGTGTTCAAACTAGCACTTTCATATTTTGCTACTTAAAGTACATACAGGTTGTGCTCAAAAGGTCTACTCATCTTAATTAATTCAATACCATGTATTACTTAATCAAACTACTATCCAATATTATCAGTGAAAACTATCGGCTGGTATTAGTATATAAGTGTTATAATTAGACTTCAGTTAAACAAATAATTATCATCAGTTATTAAATATTTGGGTGTATGAAGTGGGTGTAGGTAAAAGTGTAACTGACAGTGTGAGTGTACATATTGGTGAAAGCATGGATGTGGGTGTGGGTATGATTGTGGGTGTAAGTGAGGTTATTGGTGGGGTGTGAGTGAGGGCATGGGTATGGGTAGGTGTGTAATATAGGTGTATACAAGTATGCAAGTATGTCAGTGAGTTTGTGTGTATAGGCATGGGTGTGTTTTAATGTATTAATGTATTAAGCTTTATTAATCATTTAAGCTGAGTTTCTTTTATATAATATTATCCATCACAAAAATAAAGTATTAGTCCATCCTCAGATACAATACTAAGAAAAAAGCTGCAGTAATGTATGTAAAAGTGTAGATAACAGTATGGATGTGGGTATAGGTTTAGGAATGGGTGTGGGTATAGCTGTGGATGTGGATGTGAATGTGAATGTGAATGGGAATGGGATGGGAATGTGGATGTGGATGTGGGTGTAGATGTGAATATGGATATGAATGTGGATGTGAGAGTGGGTATGGGTGAGTGTGAAGTTTGGGTGTATGCAGGCTATGAAAGTAGTGAGTTTGGGCATGGGAGAATGTGTGGGTGTTGGTGGGTATAATAGTGAGTCAGGATAAGTATACATGTATGTGTGAATGTACAGACAGTGTCGATCCATGTGTAAATACATCCAAGTGAATTTGTAGATGCCCAAATGACTGCATGTATGTTGTTGCACATTTTTGATGCAGTAACTGCTGTCCCCTTCATTGTACGAGTGAAAAAAAACTTGACATATCAGTCGTGTAAGAAAGCGAATAATGTTTACTCTCCTGGAAACAGCTTTATGTTTCCAAAATCTTTATAACGCTATTATGTCAAGTACAAAGGCAGATATCTTGTAACTGTTCTTAAGAGAGAAAAAAAAAACTCCCCTAAACTCCGATTTGAGAGCCAGGTGATGGGTCTTCTGTCATCAGCACTTTACTGCCCGAACTACAAATCTGGGAAACCTGATGCTGGAGTCATCACAGACATGCCTAAATGTCCAACAGCTTCAACAAGAATGTGCAACTTACTCTTTCTTGTCGTCGAAACAGTAATATAGGCCTCAAAGGGCCTAATAAAGATAACAACTTTGCAGATGACACTTCCCCTTCCTCTCCACCTGTGGAGGATGCGCCAATCATCTGAGCGACGAGATCGCGCACGCCCAGACCCACGCAGGGGGAGGGGGGAGAGAGAGAGAGAGAGAGAGAGAGAGAGAGAGAGAGAGAGAGAGAGAGAGAGGGGGGGGGGGGGAGGTAGGTAGAGAGAGAAAGAGAGAGAGAGGATGGGAGAAAGAGAAAAATACAGAGGCAGGCAGACAGATAAACAGGGATTACTTCATAAGTTTACAACTTTTTCATCTTTCTGTTCATCGAAAGTACTTTTCCTTTTATTTTTTTTAACCTTGTTTTATATGTGTGCCGTGAGTGTGCAAGTGTGTGTTCTCAAAGTTGGGCTTATGGGTGTAAGAGAATGTGTTGTTATACAGTCTAATATCCTATAGAAGAAGAGAGAAGGGTATGCGTAAAGGTGTACCAGAGTGCGCGTGAATGTCAGAGTGTATGCATATCGTGAAAGTTGGTATCGTTCAGTAGAACAGTCTAAATGTCTACAGATTATCAAAAAAAGAAAAGTGTAAGTCGTAGGAATGTGATTGTGTATTAGAGTGTGGCATGAGAGTGTATCAGTGTGTCGAGAGAGTGTACCAGAATGTATCGCGAGTATGTATCGTGAGAGTGTACCAGAGTGCCCCTTGAGTGTGAGAGTGTACCAGAGTGTGAGAATGTGTTGTGAGAGTGTACCAGAGTGCGTCGTGAGTGTGAGAGCGTACCAGAACGTGTCATGAGAGTGTACCAGAGTGCGTCGTGAGTGTACCAGAGTGTACCAGAGTGCGTCGTGAGTGTGAGAGCGTACCGGAATGTGTCGTGAAAGTGTACTAGAGTGTGTCGTGAGAGTGTATCAGAGTGAACCAGAGTGCGTCGTGAGTGTGAGAGTGTCCCAGAGTGCGTCGTGAGAGTGTGGTGAGCGTCCGTGAGTGTCTGATGCCTGAGAGAGAAACAGGATGCAGGGAGTGACGCACGTGAGGCAGAATCAACCCGGATTTCCTTGAAAAATATTCACGTTGCTGATATAGCCTGTGGAAAAGGGCACGGAAAAGTGAGATGTTATGCAGTTCTAATTAATTACGAACACTAGAGAGTTCCTTGTGGTCTTTATTCTTCTATGTTTCTCTTTGGAATTTCATGTCTATGTAAATGGAAAGGATGTCATGCCACAACGTCTACGGTTCTCAATGTCAAAACATTTGCCGATGTACAAATGATCCTAAGTTACTAATAAGTCGTTATGAAGTGTAGGTAAAGAGTGACAAATGTTTTTATACTGCCATTACACCCCCAAAGAAAATTCAGCTGGTGTTATTTGAGTGATCCTCATCTAGATAATAGGGGTTATTGACACTTAATAAGATCCAGATGAAATAATATATTTGAAGGTTTCTGCTATTTGTCCTGTACTGGCTTTCAAACCAAGGCTTTTTTCTTTTTCTTTTTCTTTTTCTTTTTTTTTTATTAACAATGGCCTTCTCAAATCCACCTGAGACTTGCTGTGATCCATGATGAAAGGCCTGGAATCTTAATTTCAGCCAAGTAGCAGCAAAGTGTCAAGTTTAATATCGTGACTGCTGCGCTTGTTGGAACTCTGGCAAATTGCACCATGGGTAGTTTGGCCTACTAGTGCTCATTAACTGAGAACATATGAAACTAGTACATATAAAAGTGGCAAATGCACAATGTTCTATATAAGATTTATAAAAACTTAAAGGTTACTGTAATGTCAAAACTATTGACATCTAGGCAGTAGTAGTTTGAAATCATTATTATTATCAGAGAATAAACTTCCATGAAGTATATTGTCTGTTTTTATATAAAAAAAATAAAATAAATTCCTAACTGGGGGAACTGATTTGCATGGCAAGTCAACTACCCTTTGCAGATTGGGTATTCCATCTTTCTGTTAAGTTCAATGACCACCAGTTATTGGATAAGCTAGGCTATAGTACTGTAAATATTATATTTTAAAAATCTTTTTAAACTAAGCTTAAGAAACCACAACAATGCTTAATAAGCCTGCTCTGCATATAATTTTTAAAGATAAAACTTGAACCAGTTCTTTATTTTAAACCAAATTACCAGAGAGCTCCATAAAAGCTGCTAAGGCTCTGCGCTTTTTATGATGATAGACAAATGGCATCTCTTCAAGAGAGTACATACAGAAAGTGAAGATATCCAAGCTAGTACTGATGTCATGTTTATAGTATTATTCAACACTGTAATATGCTTCAAAATGCTAATGGTGATTACCACCCACTTATAGTGTCCTCTAAAGAAAAGAAAATCACTTAACAAACTCTTCAGTATATGTAGAATGATTATCACAAATTACCATATCACCATTGTGTATCTGCAGATTATAACTTGTACTTATGATTGCAAATTTTATATCTTGACGAGAATATCATATTTAACCACATGCTGCCGGAGAAAATGCTCTGCTTATTTTTTATTCTTTGTGAAATGTCTCAGCACATAGATGGTCTACTGCTTAGCCTCAATCTTTTTCTTTTTTTTTTATTAACAATGGCCTTCTCAAATCCACCTGAGACTTGCTGTGATCCATGATGAAAGGCCTGGAATCTTAATTTCAGCCAAGTAGTAGCAAAGTGTCAAGTTTAATATCGTGACTGCTGCGCTTGTTGGAACTCTGACAAATGGTACCATGGGTAATTTGGCCCACTAGTGCTCATTAACTGAGAACATATGAAACTAGTACATATAAAAGTGGCAAATGCACAATGTTCTATATAAGATTTATAAAAACTTAAAGGTTACTGTAATGTCAAAACCATTGACATCTAGGCAGTAGTAGTTTGAAATCATTATTATTATCAGAGAATAAACTTCCATGAAGTATATTGTCTGTTTTTATATTTAAAAAAAAAAAAAAATCCTAACTGGGGGAACTGATTTGCATGGCAAGTCAACTACCCTTTGCAGATTGGGTATTCCATCTTTCTGTTAAGTTCAATGACCACCAGTTATTGGATAAGCTAGGCTATAGTACTGTAAATATTATATTTTAAAAATCTTTTTAAACTAAGCTTAAGAAACCACAACAATGCTTAATAAGCCTGCTCTGCATATAATTTTTAAAGATAAAACTTGAACCAGTTCTTTATTTTAAACCAAATTACCAGAGAGCTCCATAAAAGCTGCTAAGGCTCTGCGCTTTTTATGATGATAGACAAATGGCATCTCTTCAAGAGAGTACATACAGAAAGTGAAGATATCCAAGCTAGTACTGATGTCATGTTTATAGTATTATTCAACACTGTAATATGCTTCAAAATGCTAATGGTGATTACCACCCACTTATAGTGTCCTCTAAAGAAAAGAAAATCACTTAACAAACTCTTCAGTATATGTAGAATGATTATCACAAATTACCATATCACCATTGTGTATCTGCAGATTATAACTTGTACTTATGATTGCAAATTTTATATCTTGACGAGAATATCATATTTAACCACATGCTGCCGGAGAAAATGCTCTGCTTATTTTTTATTCTTTGTGAAATGTCTCAGCACATAGATGGTCTACTGCTTAGCCTCAAAGGAGTTAGTTAGTAGACCTTGAGACCTCTTCTAATTTCACCTTTCCGTCAATTAGTAGGAAAAATGTTTTTTTTTTTTTTGTTTTTTTTACTTATGCTATGAATATCGAGATGGGCAGTACTCAAATTTGGCTCACTGGTGACTTAGTACAAGTGTAGCCATCTATGTGTAAAAACAGTTAATAAAGTAAACTTACAGTGGGCATGGCATGTACATACATACCAGGCCATTAGCATTGGGTTAATTTGTCCTAGTTTAGTGTATCCATACCTTCAAGATTAATCATTACTTTTTCATTCTTTGGTTACATCACTGAAGAACCATGAGCTCCATGAGTGACTTCAACTTATTGCAACCTACAGTGGGTTGACATTTATGCAACTGCTATATGACTGCCCATAACTTAACCTAGTGCCTGCGGGTTTATGTTCTGTCCCCTGTAGATTTTTTGTGAATTTTGTTACACAGATGGCTTCACATGTGCTCAGTCACTAAGGAGTTTATCAGTAGGCCCTAGTGACTGCACGTGATTACCCCATTCCTTGAATTGCAGAAAAATGTGTTTTTCTTTCAAATTATTGACATTGTTATTAAAATTTGTTATCAAGTTGTTAATAACATGACAGACAATAAATTAATAGAAATGAAGCTTTCAAAAAATCAAGGAAAAGGGTAAACAGATGAGATAGGTAAAATTAATAATGACTCCTTGGTAACTAAGCACTTGTAGAGCCTCTATGTGAAAAGATAATAGATGATCTTTTATTACAGTGGACATGGCATTGTAGTCTTGCCATCCGCACTAATTGGGTAAAACTTCTTCTTTTATAGGGTTTTAGACTATTGAAGTCTATATTCCCCCAATCTGTGTTTCTTTATATTATATCTATTAGTTTTGATATTTGTAGGAAGATCTTAAAGTGTCGTAATATATTGTATTTTTTAGCTGGTGAATGCTCTACACCTGCTATTAAAAGAGACATATTTAGATTATTTATTTTTATTCTTTTTAATGATTCAAATTGTTTTATTCTGTGAGAATTAAATCTTGGGTATTGGAGTGTTAGGTGTCCTATAGTTTCTTCTTCATGTTGGCACCATTTGCATGTTGGATCTGTTTCCATTTTTTTATATATTGATGTTGTCTTTTGATATGCTGTTCATAAATTGGGTTTCAGCATATTCTGAGATATCATATTATGGTGGTACTGGGGTTATATTCTGTACTATATTAGTTGTCATGTTGAGTCTTAATTCTTTACAGGTTTCTAGTGCCCTGTAATCTAATAATCTTTATCTTTTCTTGGATTATATTCTTTGATGTAGTTTATTTTTATTTGTTTTATTGATGTGTTATTTGGTTTCTCCAGTATTTTTGCTAGCTGTATCCACTCTATTTCTTTTTTCCTTATTTTTGTTGGTATATTATTGGTCAATTATTAGTTTATTAGTAATATCTTATAATCTATTTGATTTTCCTTATTTGTTTTTTTCCTCCGTTGATTAAATGCTCTTTTTCTATGTTTTATTATTTCATTACATTTCTTGTTCTATGGAGGTTTATTTGGTTTGTTTTTATTGTTATTCTTTTCAAATTTAGAACATTTTAATCCTGTTTGTTTGTTTATTTGTTGTTGTTGTTTTTTGGGGGGTTCATTATTTCATTTAAGGAATTTTTTTCTTTCTTTCATTCTTTATTTCATTCTTTATTTCTTTCTTTCTTGCTTTGCAATGAATAGTTTTTATTAGATTATCATTTATAATTTTTGGAAGGTGGTCACTTCCTAGATTTGGGCCTGTTTCTACTTCAAAATGAGTTAGTGATGGTGTTGCTAATACCAGGTCTATTGTTGTTTTTCTCACACTTTGAAGATCAATTCTTGTTGATAGGTGTTAATAAAATTAAATAATTTTGATTAGTGAGATTGAATATACTTTTGCCTGTTTTGTTTGCTAATTTTGTTTTTAATTCTGGATTCCAGCTTATGTATATTGTTGTTCTGAATTGATCTTATATTCCACAGGATTATTTTAGTCATTAGAGTGTTTGGTTAAATGTCTAAATGTCTTTATTTCTTTTATGGCCTCTGTGATGATTTCTAACATTGATTTATCTGAGTTCATATTGGTTATTATATTTGTAATTATGTTGACCACTTCCCTCACTGTTTCTATCCATGAGAAATCTGTTTTTGTTTGGTTTTTATTTTGTGTTTTCTTTTCTTTAATTGGGGTTGGTAAAGTCCATGCTACAGGAGAATCAGTTTGGAATGAGGGTTTGAACTGTTTCCTTTTTCCCTTGAGTATTCTTTCTTTCTTTTTCTTTTCTTTCTTTTCTTTTTTTGTTTGTTGTCTGTACTTTGTGTTTTTGTACTTTTGAGTGTTCTTTGTTCTAGAGTTAAACTCTGAGCTTGGTTTGGTGTTTGGGCATATGTAGTTGGTATTTATTTTATTTTCAATTTGTGTGTTTGTTTTTATTTGTTGTGCTCTGGTTATTTACTGGTGTAATTGGAATTATTTCACTTGCAAACTACATTGGTTTTAGTTCCTGGAACTGTTTCTTTATTTCTAAGTTGGTTGGTGTTTATTTTTTGTGCTTTGTGTATTTTGCAAGTGTTTGTGTTTGGTGCATGAATTTCCTGGCAGTAGAAGCAATATCCTGTATTTGTGCAATCTTTGTAACTATTGGCTAAATTTACTTCATCATTTTTTGTTTTTCTGCAGCATTAATGAAATATATAACTGATGTAATGGACATGTTAATAATAGACATAGTATGCACATATTTCAAAGGTTATTATTTACTTCACAGTCATTGATGAAGAAACACAAGTATTTCATGGATTAGATAATTTGGTGAACCATTACTGCCAGAACCCAGTAGGCCACTCAAGCACAGTACTAACACATCCTTGTTGCGGTGAATTGCTGCCTTCTGAAGTCCGTCTTCATGGCTCCTCCAGTCTTCTCCACAGATCCACAAGCCAAGGTAACAATAGTACATTTACAGTAGCTGCTGTACAGACAAAAAATTGGGGAGAAGAGAGACATCATTCTTAGATGGGTTGTATTGAGCTAGTCAAGATTTTAATATTGAGTACTTCAACATTTATTTTTTCATCCTTGTAAAGTACCTGAAAATATCCACTTTAAGTTTGATTATAAAACTTTTCTGTGGGAAAATGTTACGGATTAATACCCATCATTGTAAGTATGCACAATTACACCTCGTAGATATTGTAAGAGGAACATTAGAATTTTGGTATTTTTAAATTTCCACTGAAGTTCTTTATTGTAAGAAAATATGTTTGCACTTGACTTAACTCAATATTGCCAGAAAATGCTGTGTTCTTTATTTTTGTGCGTGTGCGTGTGTGTGTGGATGTATGTATGTATGTATGTATGTCTGCCTGTCTGTCTGTGTGAGAAAAGTCTGGTTTCACTAATTTACATTTTTTTCATCATAATCTTAAAGTATTTTGTAATTTTTTTCAATAAATAATTTAATAATATTATGTAAGCATAATCTTAGTTTATGCCTAATAAACAATAAATTTGTGTGACTTTTCGCAGATTTTCTAATACTGTACCAAAAATCTTGATAAATGCACTTATTGCCTAAATATTCATCTGTAGATTACAAACATCTCATTTACTAATTGACATTCTCAAGAGAATGAGCCAGAGAAATATGAGATGAGCCATGCAAAATATCATTCCTCTTTGACTTCTGGAAGGTTACTAAAGTTTGGGAGTTCCTTAGTCAATCATGAGGCAGCAGAGACCATGCAATTTTCTTTTACTGATTTGCTAGAGACAATTGCACCACATTTTCTAAATTTTTGGTGATGCTAGGCCACCATCTTTAAACCCCATTTAAAATAACATAGAAATTACCTTGCCCAGTAGAGGGTTAAACATGTAAATTAATTTTTAGTCAAGTAATTGAATGCTGCTAATTATTGAAAAATATGTGTAGTATAGATATTACTTTCATTCATTTTAATTTGATAATTTAAGCATGATGTAATGAGTTCATAGAAGATAATAGCAGGCATATTTATGGTACAGAAGGAGGTGAAGAAGGGACATTCCTAGTACGAGAAAGTTGTTCATCTCCTGGGAATTATGTTCTGTCCTTCATCACAGAGGGGCAGCCTATTCACATTCTAATTCAAAAATACAGAGAAGATGCATTCTTTTCCTTAGGTGAGTTGAAAATTTTGATCAATTTGTAAGTTGATTTTTTGTTTTTCTGCAGCATTAATGAAATATATAACTGATGTAATGGACATGTTAATAATAGACATAGTATGCACATATTTCAAAGGTTATTATTTACTTCACAGTCATTGATGAAGAAACACAAGTATTTCATGGATTAGATAATTTGGTGAACCATTACTGCCAGAACCCAGTAGGCCACTCAAGCACAGTACTAACACATCCTTGTTGCGGTGAATTGCTGCCTTCTGAAGTCCGTCTTCATGGCTCCTCCAGTCTTCTCCACAGATCCACAAGCCAAGGTAACAATAGTACATTTACAGTAGCTGCTGTACAGACAAAAAATTGGGGAGAAGAGAGACATCATTCTTAGATGGGTTGTATTGAGCTAGTCAAGATTTTAATATTGAGTACTTCAACATTTATTTTTTCATCTTTGTAAAGTACCTGAAAATATCCACTTTAAGTTTTGATTATAAAACTTTTCTGTGGGAAAATGTTACGGATGTAATACCCATCATTGTAAAGTATGCAAAATTACACCTCAGTAGATATTGTAAAAGGAACATTAGAATTTTGGTATTTTTATTCCACTGAAGTTCTTTATTGTAGAGAAAATATGTTTTGCACTTGACTTAACTCAATATTGCCAGGAAAATGCTGTGTTTTTATTTTTGTGTGTGTGTGTGTATGTGTAAGTGTTCATGTTTGCCTGCGTGTGTGTATATGAAATGTCTCTGCAAATAGATGGCTCTGCTAGTGCTTAGTCACAAAAGGGTCAATTATTTGTTCTTATGACCTTACCTGATTTCACCTTTCCTGGAATTGGTGGGGAAATGTTTGTTTTTACTAATGCTGTGAATATTGATGGTATTATTTTCATTATAGATATAATTACTATAATGTTATAGACATTAGTAACAGCAATTTATAATGTAAAATATTTTTGAAAATCAAGGAAAAGGGTAAACAGGCAGTACTCAAAATTGGCTCACTGGTGACTTAGTACAAGTGTAGCCATCTATGTGTAAAAACAATGAATAGAGTAATCTCATAGTGGGCATGGCATGTACGTATATGCCATACCCATCAGATTTGGGTTTAAAGAATTCACTTTTATGGGATTCAAGATGACTTGGAATCTCATTGTAATTATTATGCTTGAAATTTAAAACATCATTTTGTGTCAATTAATTTTTTTTTTGGGGGGGGGGAGGGATAAACTAGGACATATTTTATTGAATATCTTTAAGTACCCACTTTTGTATTAATGATATATAATTTATGATTCTGCTTTTCTTAAAGCTTTTTTCATATTTTCAGACTGCATGTTTATAAAATTTTATAAAATTAACCCCTCAACGCCGGGTGATGCCGATAGGCATGAAAACAAACAGCTCGAAAGCTGGCGTGCGGCTGTACGTTGCGGCGGCGTGCCAAAGCACAGCGAGCCAGTGATTCGGGCTGATGTACCCTACTCACACACTCAAAGTCGGCGCGCTGCCTTTGTTTGCCAGAGCGTAGATTTTTTTATTTATTTATTTTTTTTTTTTTTTTTTTTTTTTTTTTTTTTTTTTTAATTTATTTTTTTTTTTTTCTTTCTTTTTTCTTCTTCTTCTTCTTCTTCTTCTTCTTCTTCTTCTTGACTAGTGATACTATCAGGTAGTATGATGTATGTAGGAAATAGAAGCTTAATAAGCAGTACATCAGGCACTTCATTTGTCAGTTGGGAACAATAGATTTTTTTTGTGGTATATAATGAACTGATACTTAAGGCAGAATAAAGAAAAATTTCACTTTACCTCTTGTTTTGTGCTTTGTGTCCATATGAAATTCTTTATCAATTTGCATGAAACAATACTGATATACATCCATTCAGATTTCCACATTGATTGGGATTCCATTTGACTCTACTTCTTTTGAACATAAACCTCTTATGGTTTGAGTGGAGAAACAATATATTGTTACCAGTCTCACTTCAATGTTTTATTGGGATTCTTTTGGAAACCTATAATGGATTTTTTTTTTCATGTTTATTGTAAGTAGATGCATTTTTTTGGATTGGTGCTATAGAGAGGAGCTGAAGCTACAGCAATATTAACCCAAATCCAACAGGCATGGCATGTATGTACATGCCATTCCCATTGTGAGTTTACTTTATTAATTGTTTTTACGTATAGATGGCTACACTTGTACTAAGTCATCAGTAAGCCAATTCAAGGAAAAGTGAAATCAGGTAAAGTCACATGGTCTCCTAATTCACTCCTTTGTGGCTAAGCACTAGCAGAGTTATCTATGTGCAGATACATTTCACAGAAGAAATAAAAAATGAGCACAGCATTTTCCCAGTGGCATTAAATCAATTTGATTGAAATGATGTATAATTATCAAACCCCAAATCACTTGAGTTTCTGATTGTCTAACTTCTCTATATTGTTTTTTTTTTCTCTAGGTAATGTAACAATAGTAGCAGAATTACTAAAATCAGGCTATAAGAAAATAGATGACAAGAACAACTATGGACAGACATCCCTTCACATAGCATGTATGAAAGGATATGAAGAGATAACAAGATTACTTCTACAAGTTCCAGCTAATGTTGAGGTCAGGGATGAAGATGGCTTAACCCCTCTACATGTGAGTAACAATATTTTTATGGTTTTGCAATGATCACTATGCCACTGTCCCACCAAGGCTTGTATGTTGCAAGAATTCACTTTTTTTGCCCTTTTTTGTTTTTGTTTTTGTTACTTTATTTTTTGTTTTTAGCTTGATTTGTAAATTTGCACAATAGAGTCCATTACTATTCCTTTTAGTAGTTACATTTTCTTCCACAGATTCTATAGTCTTTATTTTATTTTGGCCCTTTGCATGATTGGTGTGTGTGTGTTTATGTTGCAGCTTGCTTCTAGATACAATAGACCTGGCATAGTGCGACTCCTTGTAGAGATGGGCCAGGCAGAGATCCAAGCTAGAACCACAAAGACAGGTAATGGTTTCAGGTGATGCATGTCCTCATTGCAGAAATATGGGTATCATTTTTCAGGTCCAAGAAATTCTCTGCAGTGCAAAGGAAATTTGCTCTCTCTTTATACCCTCACACCCCCCCCCCCTCTCTCTCTCTCTCTCTCTCTCTCTCTCTCTCTCTCTCTCTCTCTCTCTCTCTCTCTCTCTCTCTCTCTCTCTCTCTCTCTCTCTCTCTCCCTCCCTCCCTCCCTCCCTCCCTCTCCCTCCCGCTCTCCCTCCCCCCTCCCCCCCCCCTTCCCTCTCTCTCTCTCTCTCTCTCTCTCTCTCTCTCTCTCTCTCTCTCTCTCTCTCTCTCTCTCTCTCTCTCTCTCTGTCTCTCTCTCTCTCTCTCTCTCTCTCTCTCTGTCTCTCTCTCTCTCTCTCTCTCTCTCTCTCTCTCTCTCTCTCTCTGTTTCTCTTTCATAAAGTGGAACATCAGAGTTTTGTTTCAGGAAGCTTCTGTTAGATTAGGATCAAGTAGTTTCTGTATTATGAATATATTTCTTGATATCACTTTTATTAGCATCATTTGGGGATATATACCTATTATGATATAAGAATTGACCATACTAGTAAGACTAGATATATAGATGAGAGAAGATTTAAAGATTTAAACATTTTGTATGATATAATATGAAGCAGTATATTTTCAGATAAGTATTAGAATTAGTTAAAATTTTCATACATGTATACTATATTTTTTTTCAATGTACAGAGGCGGTAGCTCTTCATGAAGCTGCAGAACATGGCAGCACTGAGTGTGTTAAAGAACTTCTGGCTCTGGGTGCTCCTTCTTGCCCAAGAAATGTACGTATGGAAACACCCCTTGACCTTGCCAAGCGGAATGGCCACATTGAGGTTTTAAGACTTTTAGGTAAGCCCATATATAATTAAGTGTATTTCAAATGTACTAATGTGCTTGATTCATACATATATGTATGTATGAAATGTATGTGAATATGGGTACATTAGATCCTACTAGAACATGGTAATATAGATTGGCAACCTGCCTTCACCTGAGTCCATCTTTGAGAGTGCATTGTTATATGCTTTATATATCTTCCAAGTGCCATTGAAAATTATTTCTGAATAAATGTTACACATACCCTCTGTAATATAAAAAAAGAGAGAAGAGAAAGCAGTTACTAACTATTGGATATGAAATTTCTGAAAACACTGAAATAACACAAATGCTGAAGAATTTAGATAAATATTTGCTGGACTTTGTGCACAATCTACTAGTTGCAAGGCATCTTAACATTACCACACAAGTACTTACTATCTAACTTCCTCCTTACTTTCACCTCCCAATAAATTACGAACACCCCTTGTGAAGTTGTGAAAGAGTAAAAGGAAAAAGAAGAGGGAGCAAAAGAAAAAGTAATGAAAGGGTACCTACTACAGGAAGACATCCATCAGGGGAAAGAGAGGTAACTAAAAGATATTGAGACAAGAAGAAGCATACATAGATATAAAAAATATGAAAAATAATAAATATATAAAAAATAATCTCAGGAAACACTTGCCATCTGGTACAGCACTTGATAGGGAGGAAAATGTAATTATATTCTACATTGGAAGGATACAGAGAGGGAAAACCCAAGGAATGATACATAATTGCTCTTCAACCAGGAGAAAGAACTTACCTGACTTGATCCTCCATGATGGCATGGGCGGGTGAGGGCTCCGTAATTCAGTTCCCAGGGAAGGGTATGGGTAGCCCCACACTCACAATCTGTGTTATTAAACTGCACAGGGGACTTCTGTGGGGACTGTTGCTATGCTTAATGTTGGTTTAAATAAGATTTACAGCCATATTTATAGTCAGTTTCTTTTCGGGAAAGATAGTGTCAAACATGACTGTTAGAATGTCAACTGTCATTTACAACTGTCACATTCACAATCGCTCTCAAAACCTTTGATCATACGAGATTGTTCGGGGTTACCAATATGAACAAATTTATTTCATTATGAATAAATTAGCCAGATATTGCATATTTCCTATTTTCAGACTTGTGACAACTCTCTAGCCTTGGTGTTTTAATTCATCTAACCGTAATCTAAGTGAATGATGCTGATTTTATTCTTCATAAAAGGCTGGATAGAAAATTTCATGATAACAAACTTAAAGTCTCCCGGAAACACACACACATACACACACACACACACACACACACACACACACACACACACACACACACACACACACACACACACACACACATACATACACACATATGTAGAGAGTTAGGTATATAAATAGAAATCTGTAGTTACGTATATATCATCTGTTTATATGCTTGGCCTACATGAAGACATGCATGTCCAATTTCTTGAAATTGCATTTATTAAATGTTTTGTTGATTTATATATGCATCTATAACACAAGCATCAGTATATTTATGTTAATGCATTCTATCTGATGATTGTTGTGCATTAACATGTATATATCAAAACTTAAGTTATAAATGAAAGTTTAGATTAACAAAACATGTAATAAATGCAATTTCAGGCCTTTGGTTTGACAATACATTTGGACACAAATATGCTCATATGTGGATGCATATGTATAGAGCAAAATATATGGAGATGAGTCATTGAAATATGGTAATTCTTGCAATTTCTGAAATCTATAAGAAAACATATATAAAAACTTTCAGGTGGTACAGACCTGAAATGGTGCAATTTTGGTTTTTAAAACCTAACTATATAATTTTTTTATGTCAAAATAAGAGCCATATACTATATCTTAAATAGTATTCATGCTCAAATGACTATATTCTAAATTATCATTTTGCGGGGCTTGGTGCGGGGTACTCTGAGCTGCCCTGTGTTTGTTTGTATGCGAGGGGCCCATGGGGCAAGCAACACCCACAAAACTTAATAATATGGAAAATTGTGGGGGAGTTAGTTCTGGGGAAAGCCCACCCAGGGACATTTAATAATACAGCCATAGGAGTCTTATTAATGGCGTACGTATGTTTTGATCAGGTGACCTTTAGTCCATTTCTGCTAGACACCTTAATCCACAAGGCTTTTGTATCAGAACTTAGTGAGAAAACACTTGTTGTATGTATGCTTTATTGGAGAATCTAATATCTCAATAGCCTTCAGGCACACCAATTTCTTTTAACATATGTGAAGACATCAAGGCATTTCATCTCTTTTATCATACTAATTTGCCTTTAAGGAGGTTCCCTTCCTTGGTATATCATTACCCAGCTCTTTATTGTAGATTAATACTTTTGATTTATTAGCTTGTTAAGTAAGATAGTAATCTTTCCTGTATTAAGTTTAACTTACCATTTTATAGTGTTTCCTTTTTATAGTCATAATTGTCAGTTGCAGTTTTTATGTAACCTTTTTTTCTCTCTCATTTCTTCTTTTATCAGACTCATTTATATTGTTGATTTTACACTTCTGCAGTCAATCATCGGCCTTCACCACCACTGTATTCTCTAAGAGATTGTTATCATGGACAAATTGATCGCCATGTTGCCCAAGAGCGACTAACCAGCATATCAAAACCAGGGCATTTCCTCCTGCGACAGGGTACAAGAAAACTGGGGACTTATGTTCTGACTTTATTCTACCAAGAGCAAGTGTATAATTATGAAGTTTCACATGAGGTGAGAATTAATTTTTGGCTAGAAGTTTTCAAAATGTTGAAAAATATTTATTTTAAGCTAATCATTTTTGATGGCATTACTCTATTGAATTGTTGCTCTCTCACTTCTTGATCTCACCTTTCTCTTCCCACTTCTCTTTTCCATATGGTTGCTTGTTATTTTTAAAATTTCACATAAATACACTTTACAGTTAACAGAATGTGCTATCTTTGCAGGGTGAATTAGTGTTCATTGATGATGGCCCATACTTTACATCATTGGAGAGCATAATCAACCATTACTCACGTTTCATGGATGGTCTGCCGTGCCGACTTCTCACACCAGTGCCTCCTCCACAGCCACTCCCTGAGCATGAAATTCCAGTCCAAGGTCCTCCTGTTAGTCACAATAATGTAAGTTACCTATAGTTAAGCTTTTTGTATAAATAGGTGTCTTCATTACTGAATATAACAGTAATGATTGCTATAATTATTGTTATTGTTATGACCATTTCTAGTGTTATTGCAGTTGCTGTTATGTTTCTTCTTCTGCTTTGTTCCTGTTTTTCTTGTTTCTTTTATTGTTCTGCCTCTTCTGTTATTGTTCATATTATAAATAACTTACTTTCCTCATTGTTTTACATCAACTTAATCATTAACACCATTATTGAGTGGTTTTCACTTTGACAGTAGCAGTTATTTTTGATTACTCCAGAAATTAATCATGTTATATTTCACAGAGGGAGCATGCCAAGTTGTACTACTCTTTCTAAAACACAAGTTTTCTCTCTTCATTTACTCTGAGGTATCTTTTTTTTTCCGTTATATAAAATTTCAGAAATTAGGCACACCTTTGACACAGAGCCAAGAATCCTTTGACACATGCAAGACACCATCTCCAAGTGGGTCACTTGCCAGAAAGTCTCCTTTACTAGAATTTAGGCCTCATTTGAGAAGCAGAAGTCCAATTTTTAAGGTTAGGAATTTATGTTTCATTCATTAATATTTTTTTTAGCTTTACTTGAAGATGCTTTTTCTTTTTGTTGTTCCATTTCCTTTCCTGTTTTTTCTTTTCATCTGTTTTTTCTTCTACATTTTCATCTCCTTTTTATCTTCTTCCTCTTCTTCTTCATTTCATTTTCATTTTCATCTGTTCATATTGTTGCTTGTTGTTGTTGTTGTTCATCTACTTTTTTTCTTCTTTTACTTTATTTCTTTGTATTATTCTCTTTTCTTCTTCTATTTTTCCTCATCATCATTTTAAAATTCTTCCTTTTCTTTTTCCTCATTGCCCTTTTTTGCCTTCCTTTCTTTTTTTTGTCTTTCTCTTCTACTTCTTTTTATTTTCTTCTTCTTCCCCTTCTCTCTTCTTCTTTGTCTTCTGTTTCTTTTTGTTTTCTTCGTCCTCTTCATCTTCTTCTTCTTCTTCTTCCTCCTTTCTTCTATTTTCTTTTTATTATTATCCTTTTTTCTTCTTAATTTTCATCTTCCTTCTCTTTTCCTTGTGTTTCCTTATCTTCTTCCACTTTTTTCACTGTCATCATTTATTGTTTGTGGTATTATCATTATTCCTTTTCGTTTTTTCTTTCCCTTTTGTCTTCTTCCTTCTTTCAGCCTCTTTTTATATATACTTCTTTTTTTTTTGTGTGTGTGTGTGTTGTTGTTCTATTTTTATACTTTTTTCTTCTTTCTTTCTTTCTTTATTAAATAATACTTATCCTAATTTTCTAAGATTTCCTTTGATGTTAATTTAAGATTTTTCCTCTTGTTATCTTCTTCCTCATGATTCCCATCTTCACATTCTTTATTTTGTTTTCTCCATTTGATAACCCTTTGAGTGCAGACTTTTTTCCTATTAGATGTGATGTGATGTGTTATTCACCATGATTATGATGAAAAAAGTGATATAAAGGGAAATAAAAAGAACTTGAGTTCATGAAGAATCCAAAAGGTGTAAATGACCCGGTACCTCTTTGGGAGGAGACAGAATTTTTAATGATAAATAATTGTATTTATCATTGCAAATTCTGTCTTTTCAAGTGACTGAGTTAGTTATGATAGGAAACTACACCTTACTGCCATAATACTGGCTATATCATAACTATATCCACATGTTTAAGAAAAAGCATGCATGCATGGGTTGTCTACACAGTCAATCTAGCTTTTTCAAGGTGCTTGTGCTATATAGGGATAATATTTCTATCAGAGATATTCACTATGATTTCTCTCTCTAAAAAATACAAAACAAACAGAAAAAAATAGTTATGACAAGCATTTATAATAACTTTAATTATATATATTTTAAGTTTCCTCCTCAGAGTGGCAGTGATAGTGGAGCTGGCTCAACGGAGCAACAATCATTGTTGGCTGCAGTAAGCCAAGATGATTTAAGGCCATCAGGCCCAGAGGTACTTGGTAGAACACAGGTGCCAAAACCTAACATCATTATAACCGGTGAGTGTTAATATGCAGAAATGATTTCTTTATTGCAGTTCAGTCCATTTAAAAAGTAAATTTCAGGAAGCACACACAATTCCTATTAACCCCTTGGTGCCGGGTGACGCCGATCGGCGTGTACACAAAGAGCTCGAAAGCTGGCGTGCAGCCGAACGAGCCAGCGCCGCGCTAAAGCGCGGCGAGCCAGTGATTCAGGCTGATGTCCCCTACTCAAGCGCTCAAAGTCGCCGCCTTTGTTTGTTTAAGCGTAGAGTTTTTTTTTTTTTTCTTTTGTACACCCGGTGCCATTGGGTTAAAGAGGGAAAAGAAACTTTTTTTCTCTCTTTCCAAAAATGACGAAAGCTGGCTTAACTCACAACAAAGTAGAAAATGATAAACATATTACATTGGCTTTACTTCCAAGTTGTGTTTTGAATAATCTACACTCTTATTAACATTTTATCAAGGTTTTCACCATTGATTTCACATTAAATATTCATAATTGATCTACTGATAAGAAAGCAGTCTTTAAATGATCACATCCCATTAGCTATTTGGAAATAATTGTTCATACTGAAATTGCATTCACATGGTGTCTATATATTTTAGGGCATATGTTTGCACTGATTACTTATTTTAACCCCTTGGTGCCGGGTGACGCCGATTGGCGTGTAAACAAACCGCTCGAAAGCTGGCGTGCTGTACGCTGTGGCGGCGAGCCAGTGATTCAGGCTGATGTCCCCTACTCAGCTGATGTCCCCTACTGACACGCTCAAAGTCGGCGCGCTGCCTTTGTTTGCTAGAGCATAGAGTTTTTCTTTTCTTTTTCTTTTTCTTTTCTTTTCTTTTCTTTTCTTTTCTTTTCTTTTCTTTTCTTTTCTTTTCTTTTCTTTTCTTTTCTTTTCTTTTCTTTTCTTTTCTTTTCTTTTCTTTTCTTTTCTTTTTCTTTTCTTTTCTTTTCTTTTCTTTTCTTTTTTTTCTTTCTTTCTTTTCTTTTTTTTCTTTCTTTCTTTCTTTCTTTTCTTTTCTTTTCTTTTCTTTTCTTTTCTTTTCTTTTTTTCTTTCTTTCTTTTTTTTCTTTCTTTCTTTCTTTCTTTCTTTCTTCTTCTTCTTCTTCTTCTTCTTCTTCTTCTTTTTTTTTTTTGTACACCCGGCATCATTGGGTTAAGTGAGTTGGCCAAAGTTTGGATTCTGGGGACCAAGCAGCCATATATGAGATTACTTTGTGCAGTTGTTTGCCATGCATCCCCATTCTTGATGACTTTATGTACAAAAGAATGGAAGGACATATTTCCGTCAGAAGATGCTGGCTCATGACATTTAACTCTTTCATTCAGTCTGGTGCCATTTCAAGAACATAGTCAAATGTGTACAGAGTCACAACATAATGTTGGCACTTGGTCTCAGTCCAAAACAAGGCAGTCACATATTATTTTTATAATATGAGTCCTTAAAATGTATACTGAGAGGTGACAGTATATGTAGATTTTTATGCTAATTTTCAAATTTGTTTAACTAAATTGTTCTTTTGACCCCTTTTTCCTTGTATACAGAATGCCTAAGAACTTTTATGCCCTTGGATTCCAGTAAAATAATTAAATGTGATACAAGACACTCCAAGAATGTTTTTACATAGCAATTTTTAGAATAACTTTTTAAGGGTTCCACTGAACCTAGAGAAAGTTAAGTTAAGGACCTGAAATTTCAAGACACTGAAGACACTTGAGACACTGAACATATTTTTATTTTCATTCATTCCAGATCCCTTATCACAGGCATCACAGAGTGCAACAGAGGATTTAATTGATCTTCACACTTCATTGGATTATGGCAAGATTCAAAAAGTTCCTCGTCAAGCACCTCATGCACCACAGCGTGCTTCACGAGAGAATCTAAAATTAGATTTAAAGGTAGTTTACAATATCCCCCCCCCTTTTTTTTTTTTTTTTTTTTTTTTTTTTTTTTTTCCTTTCTTTTCTTTCTTTCTTTCTTCTCCCCACAAGAGACCAAAATCCTCAGCATGTCTTCCTAAGCCACCTGGAGATCAACCCAAATGTTCAACTTTTGAGTGGTGTCTGTTGGCTTGTAGGGGTTATAGAGGGAGGAATTCACAGGAGGAAAAGCCAGCCAGACACAGCTGTAGGGATAGTGTGAAGGGATAAGTATCAGTGGCCTTGAGGCTGGAAGAACGATGCTAGACATCACCATATATTCTTATTTACCCTCACTACATCACATTCACACTCAAAGATGGGGAAAACAGACACTATCAAGGCAGTTCAGCTTAAAGGTGGAACTTGCTATTATGCTTGATTGAGACAGCTCAGTCTGTAAAGGCTGATTTAATGATAATAGAGTAGTATGTATGTTATCTATGAAAACTATTGTAAATGTAATCTATATATCTCATTTGTACTATAAATGTGTAACATTACAGAATACAGAAATACTTCATATGGATATGCAAAGGTGCTGTTAGATGTAATCTGTCAGTGTCAGTGTTTGAAAAATGTGTCAATACTGAAGAAAATTAATGCACCCAAATGTTGTACTTGATTTTAGTGATATTTTTGTGTAATTTTACATATAGTTCCATATATATACCTTCAGAACTTAAGTATCAATAGTCATGGAGAAGGGACAGCCATGAGTGGTAGCAGCCCAACAATGGATGGTAACCGTACAAATGAAATATTTGGAGATATCGACATCAATCGCCTCAGTATTGGACGGCGTCTTGGTGATGGTGAATTTGGTTCAGTATTGAAGGGAGTCTGGCACAGTTCTTCAGGTGACCAGGTTTGTATATGTCTTATAAAATATGAAATTCATGGTGAGAAGAATAAATACACATGATCATGCAAGATCATGCAGCATCTGAAGGAAATATGAATTATTTTTATTTTCATTTTCATTTAGTATACAGATTTCTACGAGTGATTTTAATGAAATAGCCTTATAAATTAATTTTTGATCAGTGGTCATTACATTTAGTTATGAAGTGTGTATTGGGTAAATGTTTAAGACTATTGTTAAGAATATGTATTCCTCAGATTGATGTTGCAGTAAAAATCCTCCATGATGATGACAAAGTTAACAAAAAAAACTTCCTCAAAGAAGCTGAAGTAATGATGAACTTGAATCATCTATATATTGTCAAGTTCATAGGAGTTTGCCATGGTCCTCCAGTTGCTATGGTAAGTATAACCATTGTGTATTACTGCATTAGGGTTTTTTTGTACTAACCCTTTGCCGCTGAGTGGCATGGCATGCCTGGACTATATTCTAGGTGGCATGTGCATATGTGCCATGGTGCACCAGTCCTGTTTTCCTGTCATGCAGTCATGCTGCACACACTGCGGGGTCAGCACATTCCCTTGGCAGTGGGGCCCAGGCCACTATGAATACAGCCCAGGAGAGAGGGCTTTCACATCGGGAAACCACCCGGCGGCATTGGGTTGAAGTGACTTTACATTGCTTTCAAGTATTTTAAATCATATTTTTGCAATGACTTACATTGAATGGAAATATCATAGATAAGACAACAATTTTCCCAAAGGGATAAGGAACATTCAAATCTCACAAAAGATGTTGTGAAGCCTCATAACATATAGTTAGGTTAACAATATCACAAGTTCAACCTGAAATTTTGCTATGAATGCATGTTCTAACTAAAATATGAAAAATGGATATAGATAGAGAAATAGGTAGTTAAATAGTTTAGGTACTCAAGATTTTTTTTTTTTTTTTCCGTAAAAGGTCCAAGAACTGATGGCAATGGGTTCTCTTCTTGACTTCCTACTGGAACATCCAGAACAAGTATCCATCGATTTTCATCTTAAACTTTGGGCTGCACAGGTTGCAGAAGGTAAGGAGAATTATTTTTGTTTTTTACTTATTCTTTAGTATTAAAAAAAAAAAAAAAAGAGTACCAGTTTCTTTACATACAATTGAAAACTTGTGTTATTACAGCTTCTCATAATTTGTATTCAGTGAATCAGGTATGTTTTTTTTTTTTTTTTTTTTCAGGAATGCTATACTTGGAACAAAAACATTTTGTTCACCGTGATCTGGCTGCACGTAATATTTTGTTGTCATCAATGACCTTAGCTAAAATTAGTGACTTTGGATTGTCTCGAGCTCTTGGTGTTGACGAAGAATACTATACAGCAAGTGAAGGAGGAAGATGGCCCCTAAAATGGTATGTATTTGTTTAGAAAGAAATTAGTTTAAAATACTTTGTCACCTTGAAAATGAATTCAAAGTTTTTTTTATAATTTAAACATTTTGGAATAAAGTTAGCCTGAACAAAATACAGCTGATCATTAAAAGAGATAAGTAGATAAGCAGAGGATATCTAATTGATACATATTGAATTCACTAATGAATAATATTTCAGAAAAAATTAGCTGTTTCTTCAATTCATACCTCATTGTGTTTTTTTACAGCATAATCAGCTTTTCTTCTCTTTCTTTCTTTTTTACTTTTCTCTCTTACTTTTCTTCTCTTTCTTTCTTTTTTACTTTTCTCTCTTACTTTTCTTTCTTTCTTCATTTCTTTCTTTCTCTTTGCTGACCTCCATTGTTTATAAGAATAAGGTTCTTTCTCAGAATTACTTTAAAAGATCCTTTTAACCCATTGCCGCCGGGGAAAATGCTGAGCCTATTTTCTATACTTTTTTGTTAAATGTCTGCCGATAGATGGCTCTGTTAGCGCCTGATTTGAAATGGCGGGAAAAACGTATTTTTCACTAGTGCCATGAATATCGATGGTGTTATTTTTATTATAGACATTATAATTTTTATAATGTTTTTTAACATTAGTAACAGCAAAATAAGATGACGGAAAATATTTTGTAAATCAAAGAAAAGGGTGAACGTGCGAGACAGGCGGTACTCGTAACTGGCTCATTGGTGATTTAGTATAAGTGTAGCCATCTATGTGTGAAAACAATCCAACAAGTAATCTCACAGTGGCCATGGCATGGCATGCCTGGCGGGAATGGGTTAAGAATGTAAAATAAGGATTTCTACACTATATGAAACTAACTGCTATATGTTAATGCTTGAAAATTATGATAACATACAAATATGTAAGTATACCTCTTAGAAAAAGTACCTTCCTATTATTACCTATTTTCTTGTCAAAGACCTTTGTCCTTCAAAAAATTCTTGCTAGCTACTTTAACATCTTGGCATGATATGAAAGATGGTTTTAGATAATATATCTTATTGATGATCATTAAGCAAGTTATCAGAAATGTTTATCTTCCTCCTTGTGACAGGTATGCACCAGAATCTATCAACTATGGTACTTTCACTCATAGCAGTGATGTTTGGAGTTATGGTATAACACTCTGGGAGATGTATACATTTGGTAATCAGCCGTACGGTGAACTTCCAGGCCATAAAGTGAGTATGGTTATAGATTTGATAGGAAAAAGCAATTTTTTCATATACATAATTTCACCTGTCAACCTGAATCCCAATTTTTGGGGGAAAAAATAATTGATGATTATATTACATAATTCTTTGAAAATCCAGCAGCTATTATGATTATAAATAACATTAATAACAGGGATAAAACTTATGTTTCTAAAAATAAAATAGGTTAAATAGGTGAGGTCAGGTAGGCCTGATAATTAACTCTTGTGAATGAGTACCTAAAAAGTCATTATTTTTTGTAAACATAATTGATAAAATGAAACTAAAGTGTACAGTGCATGTGTATGTACATCATTATATCAACAGGTAAAAGAACTATTGTTCACAAGAATAAGGGATACAAAATTTCTTGTTTCAGATACTGGAACTAATTGAAAAGAATGAGAGACTTCCTCGACCTGAAAAGTGTCCAAAGGGAGTCTTCGAACTGATGCTCAGATGTTGGAATTACAAAGCGAAGTCTAGGCCATCATTCAGAGAACTAGCAACCATTTTTAGAACCAAACCAGAGTATATCAATATTAAGCACTATTTCAAGTAGTGTACTGTAAGTTGTGAATGGGAATATGTGCAAATGAAACCATCAGTGGATTTCATACAGATCTATGCTTAGTACTTATGGTAAAGTCACCTTTGGGATTTCCATGTCATCAGTATTATTGGTTAGTATATTATGATAACATGTATTGTTGGTGTAATCTAAGGGATACTCAGATATTCAATTAGGAAGTATAATTTTCTAACCCACAGTGTCGGACAGTATTAGATAATTGTTTGGTGGTGATAATCCAAGTTCCAAAACATTTTTAAAAGTATATCTATGAAAGATATACAAGGTAAATAATTTTTACTATTGTTAATAGAAAGCAGTTTCATGACAAGTTGTGTTTTTTCAGCAATAATTGTTATTGCACAATGAGCATGTATAGTAAATTTCTCTCTCTCTCTCTCTCACTCTCACTCTCACTCTCACTCTCTCTCTCTCTCTCTCTCTCTCTCTCTCTCTCTCTCTCTCTCTCTCACTCTCTCTCTCTCTCTCTCTCTCTCTCTCTCTCTCTCTCTCTCTCTCTCTCTCTCTCTCTCTCTCTCTCTCTCTCTCTCTCCCTCCCTCCCTCTCCCTCCCTCTCTCTTTTTTTCTCTTTCTCTCTCCTTCTCCCTCTCTCTCTGTTTCTCTTTCATAAAGTGGAACATCAGAGTTTTGTTTCAGGGAAGCTTCTGTTAGATTAGGATCAAGTATGTTTCTGTATTATGAATATATTTCTTGATATCACTTTTATTAGCATCATTTGGGGATATATACCTATTATGCTATATGAATTGACCATCTAGTAAGACTAGATATATAGATGAGAGAAGATTTAAAGATTTATAACATTTTGTATGATATAATATGAAGCAGTATATTTTTCAAGATAAGTATTAGAATTAGTTAAAATTTTCATACATGTATACTATATTTTTTTTCAATGTACAGAGGCGGTAGCTCTTCATGAAGCTGCAGAACATGGCGCACTGAGTGTGTTAAAGAACTTCGGCTCTGGGTGCTCCTTCTTGCCCAGAAATGTACGTATGGAAACACCCCTTGACCTTGCCAAGCGGAATGGCCACATTGAGGTTTTAAGACTTTTAGGTAAGCCCATATATAATTAAGCTGTATTTCAAATGTACTAATGTGCTTGATTAATACATAGATGTATGTATGTATCTATGAAAACTATTGTAAATGTAATCTATATATCTCATTTGTACTATAAATGTGTAACATTCAGAATACAAAAATACTTCATATGGATATGCAAAGTGCTGTTAGATGTAATCTGTTCAGTGTCAGTGTTTGAAAAATGTGTCAATACTGAAGAAAATTAATGCACCCAAATGTTGTAGTTGATTTAGTATATTTTTGTGTAATTTTTACATATAGTTCCATATATATACCTTCAGAACTTAAGTATCAATAGTCATGGAGAAGGGACAGCCATGAGTGGTAGCAGCCCAACAATGGATGGTAACCGTACAAATGAAATATTTGGAGATATCGACATCAATCGCCTCAGTATTGGACGGCGTCTTGGTGATGGTGAATTTGGTTCAGTATTGAAGGGAGTCTGGCACAGTTCTTCAGGTGACCAGGTTTGTATATGTCTTATAAAATATGAAATTCATGGTGAGAAGAATAACTACAATGATCATGCAAGATCATGCAGCATCTGAAGGAAATATGAATATTTTTATTTTCATTCATTCCAGATCCTTATCACAGGCATCACAGAGTGCAACAGAGGATTTAATTGATCTTCACACTATTGGATTATGGCAAGATTCAAAAAAGTTCCTCGTCAAGCACTCATGCACCACAGCGTGCTTCACGAGAGAATCTAAAATTAGATTAAAAGGTAGTTTACAATATCCCCCCCCCCTTTTTTTTTTTTTTCTTCACCCATCAGTAAGGGGTTAACTTCAAATGAGAGCATACCACTCTCCTAGTCAGAATATCATGTTACTATACTTTTGTAAGGATTGTACTGTCACAGCCCAAAGTTTCTTAACACCCTCCCTCCTACCACTCACAGCTGTCTGTGTGATGGGTTACATGTGGTGGGAGGATTGGTAGGGAAGGGTCTTTGAGGAGGGGCATAATTGTAGGGCCTCACCTGTTTGCTCACAAAATGTTATCATAGCATATTGTGTTGTATGAATTTACTACAGCATTATCACATTGTGTATACTACTTTACATGAATGTATTGTGTAACATTCCAGGTGTTTTATGCAGAAGAATCCTCTAGAAACAAACTGTCAGTCATCACACCTATTTGCACATTCAGCTAACCTAGGCTACCACATTCTCAGGTTACTAGGAGTATTCCTGGACTGCCCCAAGGCACAGAGGAGCAGAATTATTTTCTGTTTTTACTAATGCTGTGAATATTGATGGTATTATTTTCATTAAATATAATTACTATAATGTTATAGACATTAGTAACAGCAAAATAAGATGACGGAAAATATTTCGTAAATCAAAGAAAAGGGTGAACGTGCGAGACAGGCGGTACTCATAACTGGCTCATTGGTGATTTAGTATGAAGTGTAGCCATCTATGTGTAAAAACAATGAATAGAGTATAGAGTTAAGCCATAGTGGATGGCATGTACGTATATGCCATACCCATCAGATTTGGGTTTAAAGAATTCACTTTTGGCCCTTTTTTGTTTTTGTTTTTGTTACTTTATTTTTTGTTTTTTACTTATTCTTTAGTATTAAAAAAAAAAAAAAAAAAAAAAAAAATAAAAAAAAAAAAAAAGAGTACCAGTTTCTTTACATACAATTGAAAACTTGTGTTATTACAGCTTCTCATAATTTGTATTCAGTGAATCAGGTATCTGTTTTTTTTTGTTTTTTTCAGGAATGCTATACTTGGAACAAAAACATTTTGTTCACCGTGATCTGGCTGCACGTAATATTTTGTTGTCATCAATGACCTTAGCTAAAATTAGTGACTTTGGATTGTCTCGAGCTCTTGGTGTTGACGAATAATGTTCAGGACTAACATGAGTGAAAGGCAAAGGGTATTGTGTTAAATTAAGTTTTTGTCTGTGTGTTTGTGTGTCTTTGTATGTATGCATCTGTCTGTTCCACCACCATTTTAATATTTGGTCCAAGCTCCCTGAACCCCAAATACACTCAGTAGGTGTGAAGGTTTAGAAGTAACAAGATTTTTACATATGTTTTTGAGACTCTGGTTCCCATTCCCTCACTTCCTAACTGGCTGTTGCTGTAATTATATGTTTCAGTGTGACACTGATCCCTGTTATAATGGTTTTATATTTTCATTTTAACCCTTTGCTGCTGTATGGCATGTATGTACGTGGCATGGCATGTCTGGCATGTGGTAGCAGTCTCATATGATATGATTTTCTAGGATAAGATTTTGAAAGCAAATGGTTGAGACTTGCCCTTGTGCCCTTCTATGAAAAAAAACCTTCCTTCCCCATGTAAACCATCAAGCAGATAGTTATAGGGGGTAGGAGAGAGATGGGGCTATTTAAGGTTACTGAATAAAAAAAAATGACAGATACATGCCAAAAGCATCTAATAGCCATTCATCTGATTGCACTAAATCAGTAGCACTTAGTATGTCTAGTCTAAGAGTTTCTCTGAATAAATTATATTTATTGCCTTGGAAGATATAAACAATATGTACTGTACACATTTTTGACACATGTATTCAGAAATTATGTCTCTTTGTAACAATTACTTTGAGGTATTGCTCAAATATTATCAAAATATATTCTTGTTATACATATTTGTTTCTCATTTTATATAAATGGTCAAATGCCCTTACCCTGTAGTTTATATTAGTCCTATTTTACCCATGTCATTTATGTATTCACACTGTGGATCCTAAGTACTACTGAAGAGAAATGAAATTTTATGCAAGCTATTTTATTATAACAAAGAACTTACGGAGGTAAAAGGGAGTGGAGAGAGGGAAAATGCAGGCAAATAAGAAAACTAGACCCCTATCTTTTTTAATCATTGAAAGTTGTAAATATAGCACATAATTTTCAGACTAGAAAACATATGGGTATTACAGTTGACTTCTTTTTTCCCATCATATGTGCACAGGAGGCTCAGAACTGTGCCTCTCCATTTTCACTAATCTTTGTCTGTTTGTATGTGTATCTCTGTCTCCATCTCCCTTCCCCAATCCCTTTTTCTCCCTCTCCCTCTCTTCATTCCACTGGTGTCGGAACTAAATAGTCATCAATAAACCCTGCTGTGGAACCACTACCAGCCCAAATAAGTGGCTCAAATATTTATGCCTAGCTAAATTGATGTGAAATAAGGGAAACAGAGGAATTAGAAAAAAAGAACTGTTTAAGGGACAGCAAATGTCCAAACCAAAAATTGAAATGCAATGCCCCATGGCCCAAACCATGAGAAAAGTAGTCATGTGGAGAGAGGATATGGGCGATGGGTCAACATTGTAACAGGGAAAGGTGCTGCTCTAGTAAAAAAAAAAAAAAAAGTTGAGTTACAACAAGCTTGTGGTATATGACCTTTGATGTCTAGTATATTTATTTGCTTAAACCATTAACAACCACAAGTTATGGCTGGTAATACCAATTGAACTATGTAATATATTAGTAGCAGCAGAAAAAAAAAGTTCCTATAGCTACATGTTTATTCGATTATTACAAGCAAGCTCCCTCATCTCTATAAGACTGACCAGCTCAGACTGATCATTACCATTAAAATCACTGACTAGCTCAGATTGCCTATGACTCCGACCAAGTAGCAACTAAATGCAGTTTAGTTTTCAGCAGGAACATGGCCTGCCTCATCACTCTGGTTAATCCCTTGGATTTAGGTGCTTCACCACTTTTATGCAGACCAAAATCCGGGCATTAGGCCTACTAGAGCGTCAACTCTCCTGGGTGTGTGGCTAGTATGCCTGGCCCACGTGAACTCTCATGCAATCAAGCCTCCCAGCCTTCATGATTAGTCACTTCTTTTGCAGATATGATTTTGCTATGTTGTCATTTTACAAGATCTATTTGTTACGCTGTATCATGCTAACAATAAACTGTTTTCATTACACAGACTCACTCTCGGCAAATAGTTTATCTTCTGTACAAAGCAGGTAATGTTGTGTTATTATCATTATAATAATGAATAAATAACATGCCATTTCCTGTAAATGCAATTTTGTCTACAGTGTGGTAGACCTGAAAAGAATTGAATTGGCACAAGGTCACTTCACAGTGCCCACACATAGTGTGGGTCTCTGTACACAACCCATGCATAGAACACCTTACACCACTGATAGTAGCATCCAGGTACTGGCACCTGTATATGGACATAGTATCCTCCCTGGAGAGGGCCCTTTCCCAGACATGGTTCACGGATGGTACTTTCCACCCTCATGGACAGGCGGAGATCCTGCAGGAGTTCACAAACAAGTCAATGTCCCTCCCAGTGCTCTGTGAACTAAGAAGGAATTGATGACCGCCATCTTAATCAGTTTATACAGGACTTTAGTAGTCCACTTGATGGACTGGCAAAAGGTTGGGTATGACTGAGCCAGCTGGTCACTCATATCCACCCCCTTCATTGAAACATTGTAGTCAACAATCGCACGAGGCTTCAGCCTCTGTTGACAATGTCAGTCCAAAATTGTGACCATCTCACTATTGTGTACCACTGTCAGCATTGTGATGGGCTTTTTGTCATACCACTGAAAATACAGCATGCCTGTCTCCATGCTGTGATAGACCACATCACCACGGGCCTTTACATGCAGGTCTGTTGGCATACACTTGCAGTTGATAAGAACTGTGCCAACCTCACTGACAGTCTCACATATCCTACTATCATGACCCTGCTTTACTTAAGCCCGTACCCTCACTTTTCCTTACTTTTTCTCTCTTCCCCAACCTGTCCAACATCATCACAGAATCCCCCACTTTTTCAATTAACAGACTGTTCTCCTTCCTCAGATGCATGAATACCCTCCATTTGATCTAATCACCCATTATACCTAACCCTTCCTCTTCTATCAATCCCAATCCTACCTCATTTACTCTCCGCCATTCTACTTTCACTACCATGCTATTTTAAAATGCTATATGACCATTGAAATCTAAGATATTCCTTAAACCCCTCCCACTATAATACTTTATCATAGTACCATATGACCTTTCATGTTAAGCACATTTATTTATTTAAAACATTAAACAAACATTAGTCAAGAAACCCTTACCTACCACAAAGAGCTGCAGCACAAACTAGCCAGCTTGGAGAAGTCTTGTTACTTTGATTATGATTGGCTTGTGGAAAGGCTGCATGGCCATCTGTATGTATACCTGGTCTACAGAGGAAAGCCAAGTTCCATATACTAAAGCCAGTGGAACAAAGGTCCACCCAGGAACTCATTAGTAACAGCAACAGGGTTTAGTAGGACCTTGCCTACCTAATAGGGTAGTGCCACAAAATAGACACATCAGCACAAAATAGACACAGGCCTTTCTAGCAGTGTAGGAGCACATAAAGACTTAAGTTTATAGAAGGCTGCATGACACATAGTATTCATGGGTCTTTCTAACATATACAGGGGCACACTAGCTAGTTTGCAGATGGCAGCATTAGCAGGGAGTAGACAGTCCTTTCTACCAAAAGTAAGGGTATGCTATGATTAGATGCATCTGCTACCAAGCATGAGGCACCATTTCAGATGTGAATAATGAGGCAGATAGCCTTCAGGGTGAAATAATAGGGAGATCAAACTAAACAAACATGTGCTGAAGCCCAAGGCAATGTAGAAAGAATATAAATGGCAAATGAGAGGACACGGGAGAGCAAACCGTCTGTTACCTCCCCCCTAAAAAACAACAACCCTTGCTGCTTCCCCTTATCTTCACTAAGCAACTTCTGAGGGAGCACAAGTTCCAACACAGGCAGTAGAAAAAACAAACATAAAAGAAAGATAAGTATCCAGCAATTAGATAGAGACCTACTCATTCTTCCACACCCTACACTACCACTACATCTAAAGAATTACTCACACTAGTGTTATGTCCTACCATATAACATACTAAAACAACCTGTCAGTAGTTTACTAACACATTAAGGCCTCTTAGGGAGTATAAAATTAAGTAAATGAAGTTACTATAAAAAAAAAAAAAAATTCTATACTTTTTAAAGAAAACAAATAAGTGAAATGTTTTCATTTTGTTAACATTTGTATTGTGATTTCTTCTTTTTGAATGGAGAGAAATATAAAAAATTGGGGTTTTATGTAGTGCCTTCCATTCAACTTCCATGGGTGTATATATACTATCCTGAATCCCTACAGAAGCTGCACTTGGCATTTCCCTCTCACACTTCAAGGAGTAACTTGCACAATTTGGTTCTAGGGGAATGGTGTGATCCTTCACCCATTTACATCAGTGATTAAAGACAAATGTAATGTTTAATTTTTTTGTATGTCTTTTTTTCCTTCTTTTTTATCCTTTTCAAATCTCATTTACTTTCCAGCACAGTGCTCTGTTTTCCAATAAACCTTCAAAACTCTTTCCCTTTAGTTTTAACAGAATGTAGTGAATAGAATGAGAAACTATGGAAGGGAATGAAAATATTGTGAGTGTTGGTTTTATCTCAACCTAGAAAAAAAAATCCTGGTCATTTCTGCAGTTTCAAAACTTCTTTTTGTATGGGATATTCACCAACTGGTTTTAACTGTTCATACAATATTAGTATGAATAGTTAAAGAGTTTTAAAACATTATTTTACCATAAGTTTGATACAAAGGAAAAAGACAAACCTTTGGATAGAAATATGGTCATAATTCAACACACCATGTGTTACTATATTTGAGATAAAAAAATAAATGTTTAGCTATATACATGTTAAGATTTTAAAGCTATAAACAATAAAGCAATATGCAGTTTATTTTTAAAAGCTAGGTACTTTCCCCTTCTCCAGACTGCTTCAGTTTTTGTTTGAGAATCCTCACAGCCTGAAAAGAAATGCTAATTAAAGACAACCTAATTTCCATAAACTTGCTTTTTCATCTTAACAATTTAGTTACTGAATAATTATACATCTGAAAAAATACTTCTTTATCAATGTATGCTGTAAAAATAAACAGTTATGAAATCAAACTTAAAGTTTACTTAACTTGTAAGTCATAAGATAAACAACATAAATTTCCAACTTAATATATCACAGGTGAAATTATATATTTTGTAATCTTGCCAAGTCTATGTTGATATGTTATGCTAATACTACAAACAGTGCCTATCCTCACTAACCTAGCATCCACACTAGTGATCACTAGTTTGCATGACTTTGAATTAATACTAGATGTATTACCTACAGTAAAGTACATAAATTATATTTTGCCTTTTATACTCTAAGTATGCCAGACCCCTATTTTTGAATTATGCTTATTTGGTCAATATATTAGTGACTATGAAATGTAATAATATAAAAAAGAACCACTAAGAATCTGTCATCATACTAAGTATAATCACTCTAAATAACCTGATCTCTCACCTTTTTATATTCTTCAATCTGAGCATGACTATATTCCTGAACACTCTCCAGTAACTCCTGATACCTTGTCTCCATCTCACTGAGAAGTGTTCGGGTCTCCTCCTGTCGACGTGTTAATGCCTCAGAAACAGCAAAGGATCTTTCCTTTTCTAACGTCAGCTGATGTTTCAAGATCTGAAAGTGAAATTGAATATGAAAATGCATTTTTCAATGACCTACCAAAATGTTCTATACATACATGATACATGTTGAAACGTCCCTTGCGAAATAATATACTATCTTACAAAGACCTACCACACTGTTCCATTACATACATGAAATAATATACTAAGATTGAGCTACTGGAATATGGTTCTGCTGTAATGTGTGACCCTGCATGTATATGCATAATTTAATCACTCTAAGTTCTAATTACTTTATCAAACTCTGAACTTTTTCATCATGTGCCAATCACATTTTTTATTTCCTTTCATTTACTAATGCAAACAGATATTTCAAATTATGACGTATAAATTTAAATGCAATTCCATACACTATCAAAGATCTCGAATACTCTTACATCTTACCTCTTGCTTGTGATACATCTGTAGTTCTACTATTTCCTCTGCATGTCTTTGTTGCAGCCTCTGGAGACTTTTCTTCTCTTGTCTAATAGTATAATCAGACTCCTCAAGCTTAGCCTTTAGGGAGATGACTTCCTTTTCCAAAGCCTGGATTGAACTTACATATTCCTTTTGTTGTTTATTAATATTTCTCAGCTGATTGCTTTGTTTCTCAAAATTTGCACTCTAGCATAGAAAAAATAATATAATCATAAATAAAGGAAATACTGTACATAATAGGATATGTAATATCATCATCAGCACATGGAATATAAGAACACACTATATAAATAGTGGAGTTTCATATCCTCCTACTTTAACTAACTTCTAAAACTAGGGCAGAATATTATTTTTCTGGAGATTGTAATTTCAGTTATTCTATTTTTTAGCTTGTGAGAAAACGTATACACAACACACTGATGTTAGATATATGGTTTACAAGAACTACAGGGTCAGACATATAAATGAGAGAAAAAAGAAAAAATACTTGCCCTTGTTAGTGCTTCTGACAGTTTTTCCTGAAGAAGCATTATCATCTCATTCAACCTTTTTCTCTCTTCATTATTCTCTTTCTGTATTTTTTCAGTCTCTTTCTGTGATAACATCTGAAGTTCCTGAAAATGTCACAAATTACAATTAAGTAGTATCCAGTCTCTATTAATAAGAAAAATAAGTACCTATTACAGCAAATAATTACTGTAATAAATAGATACTGGAAACATTACCCTTATCCTTTATTGCTAAAATTGGACTATGGATATTACTTAAAACTTTGCATTGCATTAAAATTTATGTTTGTGCATCTCATGGAAAGCACTAGTCCACATTACAGAAAAGGGGGTTGTATGAGTTGTATCAAGTTCCTCTGAGTCACTACAGAGCAGATAAAAGAAGACAAGCTATTATATGGGCAATTATATGATTGTTTGATGGCTAATGGTTAGAATAAATAAATATACTAGACATCAAAGGTCAAATAGCACTATGGTAGAGTATTGCGGCAAAAAGGGTAGAAATGACTTAACAATTAGGAGACAAGATGTTAGATATCAAAGGTTGTAGAATGTTTAAGGATGGAATAGTAGTGAAAAGGGTATAGAGGGGGAACAAATGGAATTAAAACTTTTCATCTTCCATTCTTAATAAGGTAAGCTCTAAGGAAAAGTCATGAAAAATTTATTTATTTTTTAAGTCTCTCTTCTTCAGTACACTGCATGATGATTGTCCAAGGAAAAATAAGAGAAACACTGGATTGCTTTAGAATAAAATACCATACCATAGGTTAATGGCATCAAAATTTTTGCTTTTTTTTAGGCTGAGGTCTTTGGTTCTAATTTTAAGGGGTTGATTCCCAAATGATGTATGAAAATATCAGACACTAAATTTTGATGTACAATTTTACTCTGGTGATATTATCTGTACTACTACCATTGCTATTACTAATACTATTGCTGTTACTACAACTGTTACTCTACTAAATAACATTTAATACTACTGTTAATGATATCAACAAAAATAATATCTAAAAAAAAAATAATGACCAGCTATACATTCATCTAAGAAATCAACAAACCTGAAGAGCTTTATCAAGCATCCTCTGTTGATCTGCTTCTACACTATAGAATTTTTTCTGCCACTTTTCAGATTCTGCTTTCCATATCTTCATCTCTTCTTCCTGCCTTCTCTTATCTAGCTGTAGGGTTGAAATGCACTTCTCTTGATCTGATATCCTCTGCTCAATATCACTTGCTGGTTTCAACCTGGTATAATCAGTTATTAATGTAATATCTATAAAGGCATTCAATAACTAGACTTGAGCATGTGTGTAAACAATTTAGTGTACACCTATTACCAGATTCAGTTTCTTCAAGTTTCACATATAACCAAAACATAACATCCACATCAAAAAAGTAATAAATGAAATAACTAATGCCTGAGATATTTACTTTACTTTTTTTCTATGTATCCGTATTCCCCAATCATAGAGGATGCAATTCACTTTAAATCAAGTGATCATCAAATAATGGTTTCATTCATATTTTACTCCATACCTGTTTCTTAGTTCTTCTACTTCATGTTTGAGGGCATCCTTTTCCTTTGATACTTCCTCAAGATTTAAGATCAGTTGCTCATTTTCCTCCTTTGAATTTCTTTTCTCTAGAAACAATTCTGTTTCTCTTTTCTCTGCCTGTGAGGATTTTTTAAGTGTTATAGCATGTAAAATGAGGTAGCATTTACAATATAATCCAAAAATATAAATATATTTTGTCATGTGTTCGCAAACATTTTACTCACCCTTAATTTACTAATTACAGCATTCATTTGCATTATATGTGTCTGATGTTCCTTCTCCACTAGCTCAACTCGTTTTCTGTTTTCTGACAATAAATCCATAACTTTCGTATCAAAGTTTTTTGCAGCTTCCTCACGAGCAGCTGATACTCTACTTTCTGCTTCATGCACCTAACAATAATAAAAAATTAAAAGTTAACAATAAATATAGTGAAGAAGACTGTGCAGTTTATCAACTACAAGAGTAAGTAAAATTGTGAATTCAATCTATTATTTTCTTTAACAAAAAGAGATGGAGCAAAAAAGGCAATTTTACAAATAATTGACTTATTATCCACTTAGACTAGAGGAATGGGAAAAAACTGACCTTCTTTTCACACTCTAAATGTAACAAAGACAAAGCTTCCTTATGTCTTTCTTCTTGATATCTTAATTTATCTTCATACACTCGAATCTCCTTCCCTTTCTTCATCTCAAGGTCTTTCATTTTGGATTCTAACTCTTCCACAACCTGCAACAAAATGATATACATGAGAGAAAACTCAAATTTCTTTGGATTTACCGTGGTTGGCATTCTTTCAGTATACAACTTTTATAAATTATTAATAGTTAAATGGTTTGAAGAAATAAATGTGCTAGACTTCAAAGGTATTAGGGTAAAGTATTGTGGCAAAAAGGATGATAATGAGTTAACAATGAGGATAGTTTAGATTGTCTGGTGCAACAGGTAGAGTGAGAAGGGTAGGCACCAGGGAAGTGGTAGAGACTGGAGTATCTAGAATTTGACTGAGGACGAGAGGGAGTAGAGATAGGATACTTCAGGATAAAGGGAAGAGATACTGTGGGAGAAGCTGAGACTTCTTGCAAAGATGGGAAGGGAGTGGAGCAGTAAAGTTTTGGAATCGATAGAAAGAGAAAAAACCTTGCCAGCATTGAGTGAGGCCTAGTTTGAATCTGAGAACTGCTACCTCAGATTCAAGCTTGTAGGCAGGGCAGCTCCTATAAAATACACTATGGGAGCCATCACAACTCGTATACGTGCATGACTCAGCAGAGCAATTTGAATGGTTATGACAAGACTAGGCACACAGAAGGCCATAGGCTGTGGAGAGACAGTGTTTGGCTGGATGGCCAAAACGCAAACATTTCCTACATTGATGGGGAAGAGGTCAGTATAGTTGGACAGGGCAGAACACTCAACCAATGTAAACTTCATGGAGGAGGTCATGTCTACGGAAGCTAATCTTGGCAATACTGATGTAGGACTTACATTGGCCTCTGGGAGGAATAGTGTAGCACTGACTCCCACTGCATCATAGTCAGCAAAGCATGCGAGAAAGTCATTTTCACAGTCTGACCAGTCCTTGTCGTCCTTGGCAAGACAATCAGTTGGAGAGATGGAAACAGTTCCAGTACAAGTATTAGGGGAGGAGTGAGGTTGGACAGGAATAGGTTTGCCAGTGAGGTCAGTCAGGGACTGAGATGTAACTGAGACAAAGCAGGAATTTTGCCTACTTGTTTTTGGAGACATTGTTGGAAGAGAAGGGTATTGTCAGAGTACGGGGCTGTAGAGGGAATCACAAAGAATTGATCCCACTTGGCTGGAACAAAAAGAGTACTCAAAATGTTTGTAGAGGTGGAAGCAGCAAAAGGACAAGGGTGGGAGGAAGATGGGGTGGTATAGTAGTACTTTTGGGAGAAATACACAAAGGATGAATAGTAATAAGAGGGGTGGAAAAAGACGATGTAGTAGAAGATAAGAGTGGAGGATGTTGGGAAAGAGGAAGGGGTGTATTCTGAAGGTTAAGTAATGACATGGGTGGATGATTCGGAATGGATAGAGTTAATAGCAAACATCGAGGATTGGGTATTAGTATCAGTGGCCAGACCCAAAGGAGAGGCAGGGGTCAGGAAATGAAACAGAATTCAGATAGGCTAGTTAATAAAGGGGCAAGCCTTAATTCCTCTAATAAGAGTAAAAAAATAAACCTTTATTGGTGGCCATGGTGAACATGAAATAAATGAGGAGCGGAAAAAGTCTACCCCTCAGGGTCCCCATGATTGTCATAATGGTATGGCAAAATCATATTTTCTCTTTCCTCTTCATATACATTAGTACTGCCTTATATATCATGCACTGATATGGAAGATAAATATTTCTATAGGACACTGAGCTGAATTCTTAAATAATGTAAACTTGCATCCTTATTAGAATCATGTAAGATAGAACTTATAAGTGCATATGCATAAAGTTAACACAACAAGGATGAAAAGTTTCTTAGTGTAAAATGCAACCTGTTGTTGGATAATGTAATGCATTTTTTTTTTTTTTTTTTTTTTTTTTTTTTTTTAATCACTTAAGCATATACACCCTATATATAGGCATAAGTGAGGATGTAAGACAAACAGTATCAACACACCCAGATGCCAAAAATTATAATTATGCTTCAATGTCTCATCACATAGAGTGACACTAAGAATTATAAGCAAAAAGACTCATAATATGAGAAAACTGGGTATTTGTCAAACCAGTATTCAGGGAAATTAAAATATGAAAGTTTAAAATAAAAGGGCACTGGAAAAAAATAGAAAATCTGCCTACTGCCCTTGTTTATATCTACATCTAATTAGAACCTGAACTTTTCTTTTACTTAGCCTAATTCATTTTGGTTACTTAACCTAATTATTGTGGTATGAAAGTACTGGCTAGTGGCCAGTTGCCATGTATTACCAGGTTGTGCCTGGATCATTTGGTATTTGAAGTTCAACACTAGCCATCTAAAAAAACATGTATATTTCCCTTCACTTTATATGCCTGTAGCTAATAATAAACACCAAACAAATGATGTTACCACTAGCAGAGTAAGATGAGTTCCCTCCAATAAGCTGATGGTGCAGGGCGTGTCAATGTGCAGTACCATACACAAATCAATCCACCACAGCCATTGCTTGATTTCATGCCATAAACATTCAAAGGGTTCAATATGCATACATACACAATATTGCAATTGCTAACATAGCATGATTCACCTAACAAGCTGATTTTTTTATAATAGTGTAAGAATAGCTTTCAGTGAACAAAAATAACTTGAAATCTTACCTGAACCATTTCTTTAAGTTTGTCCCTATATAGGGATAT